TTGCATGTGTTTTCAGTTAATGCAGCGTTTTCCTTTTTGCATGTGTTTTCAGTTAATGCAGCGTTTTCCTTTTGCATGTGTTTTTTGGTTTATGCAGCGTTTTCCTTTTGCATGTGTTTTCCGGTTAATGCAGCGTTTTCCTTTTGCATGTGTTTTCCGGTTAATGCAGCGTTTTCCTTTTGCATGTGTTTTCAGTTAATGCAGCGTTTTTCCTTTTGCATGTGTTTTTTGGTTTATGCAGCGTTTTCCTTTTGCATGTGTTTTGTTTAATGCCGCGTTTCTGTCTTGCATGTGTTTTTTTGGTTAATGCAGCGTTTTCCGTTTGCATGTGTTTTGTTCAATACCGCGTTTGTGTCTTGCATGTGTTGTGTCTTTTGCATGTGTTGTGACCGTGTCGGCCACCGTAAGCTAGTCTTACCCTGCAAGCAATCTCTCCTCTGTTGGCAATGAGGATCTTATCAAAAGTCTGCAGAAGGAAAGAGGTGACACAGCATGCTTAACAGAACATTTGTCAATAAGAAGACTAGCAGCACAGACACCTTCTTCACACCCTAACTCCTGAGAAAGATATAATGTACCATTATCAGCATCACATCACATCTTGCCTCACAGTTATTAATTTAGACATTTCTTTGAGTCATCGTACTGTTCAGTGGTTACACTCAAATAGGACGAAAGAGAACCTAGCTACCATGGCTTCAGTAAATATTCAGATACCCTTTACTTTATGAACACTAGATTGTGTTGTATATTTAATTTCAAATAGATATCACAGCTAGCCAAGTCAAAAACCAGACAAATCCCATAGAATATCTGATGGAAAAACTATATCTGGCACCACCTAAAAATGGCAGTTCACAGACATTTTGCATCCAACATAACAGAGCTTTAGAGGATGTGTCAGGTAAATCCCGATGTGCAAAGCTTGTAGAACTTTATCCAAGAAGACTTTTATAAAGTCCTGAATTGGGGTATGAATTTTTTTGACAATGAGAGATTTATTAAACATCAAAATCTGAAATTTGCCAAAATTAAATTTGGGTTATTAAGTGAAGATTGATGTGAACCTGACAAAGTGTCCATTTAAAATAAAATCTACAACACAATTTGTGAAAAAAAACGTGAAGGGGTCTGAATATTTACTGAAGCTACTGTAATTTCTGAAGCACATGTATGCATTACCTGCTCACTGGGATTGTAGACTGTGGAATATTGAGCCTTGCTGTGCAGTGCACAGCATCTGGACTGCAGCGAGACATACTGCAACAAATACACACTACATTTTACTTTATTCATTATGTAACTAGAATAGGAAGAAAGGAAGCAGGAAGTATGGAAGGAAATAAGGATGAGAGAAAAGGAAATAAGGATAAAGGAAGAATAAAAACATTATACCAAGAAGGTCAATCTATTGGTAATAAGTATTAATAATATTTGAAGGTAGTAGTGCTGTCAGAAATACTTTTATTAAGAGTACAGATGTAGTCATTCAAAGTTTCATATTATTTCACAGTGTTACGTTTGTGGTGCCCTGACTGTGATGTTGGGTCAGTAATGCAGCGTTTTAACCGCCAGGCTCATAAAATCCACCATACAGTTCACTTTTCTGCCACCAGGTGTTGCAAAGCCTAGTATACTACTGTATTTGTGGACACACAAACAACATAGTAGGCTACTGACCATATTCCTTGTCATACAGATAGGCTGCTGCACCAGATAAGTAATTAGCTTCTGATCTGTTACACTGTGTTTTTACATATCTAGTCAAAGGCCTATTAAACATGGTTAACACAGCAAGTTACTGAAATAGTAAACACCATGTAAAGTATGCAACTACAATGAAAAAATTAACTTCAGTTTAAATATGATACATCGCACAGCTGCTGTCATAACCCTGTATTTATGTGACTTTGACAAATGAAGTGTCTTGTTTAGATGGGTAAAACATCCATGGATGCGAGAAAATAGTCTCTGGAATTCCTCTCCTACATGATCCCTACCTTCAAGATTGATAAAGAGAGGATAATGCAACTTGGTGCAAAGTTATAAAAACTACCAGATAAAGTGATGATGTAACTACACCGAGCTATTTATTATTATTTTTATTATTATTTAGCCATTATTTAGCCACCTGTAAACCTCATGGGTCAAGAGGAGGGCAGGGCAGACTCCTCACATCTTGGACACAAACAGTTTGAACTCCTCTCCTCTGGATGGTGCTACAGCTCACTGTACGCCAAAACAGCCAGACACAATGACAGTTTCTTTCGCTGTGCCATCACTCTGATGAACAGTTAATCCTCGTCTGTATAACAGAACAACAGTCTGCACACAGCCTTGTACACACTAATCTGAAAGCACTTCTGCCACAGTGTGTATATATTTATAAACAGATTCTTTCCCTTCTTATCTCTTTCCTACTTTAAATGCATATATTTTCCTATTTTCTTACTGACTCTCATGAACAGTGTGAGACTCTGTACCAGAGACAAATTCCTGTGTGTTTAGACATATTTGGCCAATAAATGTGATTGAGTTTTGCAAAGACATGCTAACAGGGTAGCATATACACATTTTCTGCTAAATATAAGGACACTGTCACATCACTACCATGGGTCAAGACACTCATAGCAACAGGTGAGAAGTGGCAGAGGTGATGTTGCATGACTTACTCGCTTTCAGTGATCTAAACTGTAACAACTGTGATTGTATGCATCACATTTCTTCATTCATGTCTCTCAGTGGTTGGACAAGAACAGAAAATCCCCCCTGGTTTTGCATCTGTTCAGTGGTTGTACAGACCATCTCCTCTGATGTCTTCTGTGTTGCAGTATTTCAGTAAAAGTAACTGCTGTTCTACATCTGTTAGTTTTAACTCCAACATGACCCACTCAGTTTCAGTCATCATTGTTAATAAGTAATAAAGAAATCCAACACAGTGGCACAGAAACACCACTGCCAACTAGCATTTTGGTAATGTAATTGCAGGGCAAAACAGACAGCAGCGCACAAGTATAAATGCTCACAATGGCATAGGTCACTTGCATAGCCTTGCATTTCCTGAATCATGTATAATTTATATGTGAAGGCTGATAGAAAAAGAGAAGAGAACAGGCAGAAAGCTGTAAAAAGGTGGAAGGAGAAAACCAGAGACTCTTCAGTCACTCTGCTGAAAATTCTAACAATCAAAACACAGGAGAGGCAGAAAAATGTCCAAAAACAACAAAAAATAAGGTGTGATTATTGAAAAACCATATAAGATGTAAAAAAGTAATTACAAGTCTAATAGCTGAATCTCCTATGACCTGTTTAAAGATTAAATTGTGTCTGTAGCTGATAGTATGCGGAACTAGTTAAAGCTCAAAGAGGCCGTTGAGGAGGATTTGAATATTTTGACCATTCTCTGGCATTATAAATTTTGCCGAAATATTTTAAAAATTATTAAAAGTAGAAAAAAGTTTAATAAAAGCATAGCCCTTAAAGACCTGGAGTCTTTATTTGAATGTTTTTTTCTAGCTGAAAGTATGAATAAAGTAGTCAAATGCCAAACAAAAACGTAGGAAGAAAAGGTGGGCATAGTTTTATGGATGTAGGATAAGAAGAGTGTGAACAGCATCCACACAGATTAACACCAGCATTAATCAGTACAACCTCTGAGATGACGTCAAGAGCTACGTTTGATTTAGATAAGACACCACACTCCATTATTTCCTACTCCTGCTTTTCTAACAATTTTAACAGCGTGGTTACTGTCGCTTCACCCACATCTAAGGGAGCTCCGTGTCTGTGTTAATGTGTATTGTCAAATAGCTGCTGGACTGCCCCCAACACATTAGCAGCAGGTTCGACACTGCAAACAACCGTCATATCATTGGCATGCTGTTAGCAAAAACACAGCTGTCAGGTTGTTGAACGAGCTCGTGATGTCAACTCATTCTGTGTTCAGCTCACCTTTATAGTTAACTGCACCCTGTTGAGTAATGAAGAGAGACTGGGCGCCGCCATGTTGCCGAGCTGTGACCGTCAACGAGAATAACGTCCGGCTGCAGCTACACCAAACGCACTTCTTCTTCGTCGTCGTCTTCGTCTTCTTCCTCAGCTGTTTTAATGACGGTTGGCAACCAGCTTTAGGTGCATTATCGCCATCTTCTGTCTGTAGTCTACGTCAACAACCCGGTATTATAATGTATGTTCGGCTAATTAGTCCAGTTGTCCCTAAATCATCGAACATTTTCCCCTGCTTACTGCGTCCATATTTTATAATAGTTTGCTAACTATTTTCCCAAAGTTTTTTAAAGTTTTTGTAACTGGGTAATTATTTCTAATCTTTTGTCTGCATATTTCCTGCAGATGATCATCCCAGTTGTCATGTTACTCCTGTATAAATTTTCATCCACACCAAACGTTTCCCCTCTGATTTTGACAATTTAATGCTGCCTTCGGTATGTGTCTTACTGACAGCTTGCTTGGCTAGCTTATCGACCTTCTCATTACTCATTTGTGCTGGAACCCATATTAACCTGATTTCTTTTCCTTGACTGACTACTGATATTTGATACAAGACATTCATATAGAAGATTTTGCTGTTTTTTTCACAAATGCAGAGATGGCAAGTCACTGCATATAAGAATATTATTTAATCTATTCTCCAAAGCCCCATCAGTACCTTTGCTCATTGTACTCTGCCTCAGATAAGTTGTCCAACCTCCATAACAGAGCATGAAGAAAACTCAAGCCTCTGTCCCAGCAGGCATGCTGAGGGGCACCACCAAGCACTGCTTCACCCCAGTGCTACATTATTCATATACCAGGTCTGCATTTTTATTTTTATGTCTCCAGTGCCACATTTGGACTTGGCAATAACTGAGCAGAGAGAGAGAGAGAGAGAGACTTAAGGGGATTGTGTGTGAAGCAAGAAAAGAGTAGAGTTTAAAATCACTATTGGGTGCAGAGGATTTCGGGTAATTGGAAGGGATCAATCTGATTCACTGTAGAGATAGGACAAATGATTAGTAAATATGATTTTGTTGTTTCATTTCCAGAGCTCAGGTACTTTAATGCAATACTCTACCCACTCCGATGCAGTAGGTGGCTGCATGCATGTTAATCACTGGTTCACAATCCGCCAGAAAACAAAGAGAAGAAGCAGAGCAGTAAGACTACAATCTCCATGAAGCACAACGTGTGGAGAGCTTTCATTGTAGTTTCTTGTGTTTGTTTAATATATCCATGGCGTTCAGTGGCGTTTTCCCAGAAGCGCTAATTTGACAGCCAAGTGGAAGTTACATTAGATGGACTCCATGAGTTTGTAGATGTATGTTTTTATGCAGGTCATCTTCGTAACGTGCTGACACTCGTCAGTGAGCCCTGCTCCCAATGTTTACTTCTCCGGCATGTCTTCTCCAGCTAGGGAAAAGTAATGCTTTGCTTCAATGAAGCTGATTTCATGAAAACAAGACTGACAAGCTCCCATGTTTCCAAGAAATAAATTGCTATACAGATAATGCACTAACTTGCATCAGTTTGAACAGCTGGGCAGCTTCCTCTCTTCGGGCAGCGAGCTGTTGTCGTCAATTGCAGATCCTCTCCGGCTCCATGATGGCGATGTTTCGGAGCTTTGTCTCGGCGAGCACTCAGTTCCGTCAGCAGCAGCCCAGCAGCGACTCAGGCTCGTTGGCAGCCCCGGCCGAGAGCATCGAGAGCCAGTTCTCCTGTCCAATCTGCCTGGAGGTCTACTATAAACCCGTCAGCATCGCCAGCTGTGCTCACACGTAAAGTAGCTACTTCTTGTTTGAATATGTGCTACTGAGTGTGGACATGCAGTAACCTAAGATGATTTAACGCTTTTAAGTGTACAGCAGCTTGTTTCATTGAAGCACACAGCTTTGTTTTTAATGTAATGTGTTTTATATTTGTAACATTAACATCATACCCGAGGAAGGGGCTCATTTGATGCATAGCTAGTGTTTATGTTTCTAAGTAGTCGGCATTAAAACATCTGGGAGATTTGCACCAGGTAATGGTAGGCTATTGTCATACATGTTTGACTGACCTTCACGCCATCATTACACTCATGATACTCAGGTTATAAATAGTTAATGGCTACTTATGGTCGGTTAAGTATAACGCAGTCACTTAGATATAAAAAGTAAATGGATCAACATCGGTACTTTGAATTTATGTTACAGTTGAGGTCAGAGGTTTACATAGGCTACACCTAAGCTTAAGACAAAAAACCCACTAATCACCACTACAGAGAGGCCATGTTACCGTTTTGGCAAGTCAATCCATATATATACTTTGGCCAGAACAAAAGAAAATTTCCCACAGTTTATCAGGGACAGATTTATTTCACTGTTTGTTCACAATATCAGAATTCCAGTGGGTAAAAGGTTTACATACACATACACCATCCATTAAACATCCCGGAAGCTTCTGAAAATTCATCTCACAAGTTTAGTTCCTGTGGCTGTACTTTAGGTCCACCCTGCAGACCCAGTGTCCTTTTCATGGAAAAAAGAAAAAAAAAAATTGGCAAAAAACTTAAAAAAAAAAAAGAATTCCACAAGTGTGGTTTCTCCTGATCATGACAATCACTTTAATTGACCAAGTATGTTACACACACAAGGAATTTGTCTCCGGTACAGAACCGAGGCAGCCATCTGCGCCGCTAACTCACACGCACACTGATGGCAGTACTGTCCCGGCCATCAGGGGCAACTTGGGGTTCTGTGTCTTGCCCATGGACACTTTGGCATGTGGACTGGGGAGAATGAGAACTGAACCACCAACCTTCTGGTTAGGGGATGACTGCTCTACCTCTTGAGCCACAGCTGTCCATATTTGCAGGTACCACGCTCATCTGTACAGACAGTAGTACACAAATATAAACATAAATTAAGACTGGACCCAATTATTCTACTACTTGGATATTCGTTCATTGGGTAGGTAATCGGTTTTCTTCAGTTAGGAGCAGATGTGGCTCTATCTCCTGAGCCAAATAAATCAGTGGTCTCTTGTAGGATGTCAGTGCCCCCATCCATAGGGTAAAACTGATTACTGATGGGTTTGAAGAGAATGAAAATGATGTGAATTATATACTGTACTCAGTGCATCACCGGATCTCATCCCAGTTGTGCAATAATGGGAGAATTTAGACCAACATGTTTGATGGTGTTCCCCCCACTGTCAACAAAATAGCAAATGAGGGAATATCTTCTGGAAGAATGCTGTTTCATCCTTCCAGTAGAGTTCCAAGAACTTGCAGATTTAATGCCAGGGACACTGGTGCTGTTCTGGCAGCACATGCTGGCCCAACACCTTACTAAGACACTTTGTTTGTGTTGCCAGAAGGTTTTATGCTTTTGTCCACTGGTGCTACGACAGCAACCACCTTTTGTTATAATGTGGCATTATTAAATTGTCAAACAGCAATATCTAAATTGGACTGGTTACACAAACTGTGCATTCGCATAGGGAACTATCTGCCCTGTAATGATTCTGTAGCTCTGAGAGTGTGTTGTCCAGCTCCCAGTTATTCTTTTATTCATATCAATAATTGAAGTTAATAAACTTAATATTTTGGAACTGGGACTGGCATAATTTACTTACAGGTGGTGGACCCAAGATGGCAGTGCGTATGTACGCAGCGGCTCAGGGCTCTCGGCTTTTTGTTTCTCTATTTGTATTTTTGTTGTCACTACAGTTTTCTGAAGCTACCATCCAGTATGGAAGAGCTGTCAGAGTGGGCCTTCACCAAATCAAGGAAGAGGCCCAACACCAACAGGGAGAAACCAGAAACAAGAGGGGATAACACTGTCATCCCTTATGTGGCTGGTTTATCAGAGAAGTTAAAAAGGATATTTCACAACCACAATATCCCAGTTACCTTTAAACCAGAGAACACCCTGTGGCAGAGACTGGTCCACCTGAAGGACAAAACACCCAGACATAAACAGAGTGATGTGGTGTATGCAATTAAGTGTAGTCAGGAGTGTAACGACTTGTACATTGGTGAAACTAAGCAGCCGCTTCACAAACACATGGCCCAACACAGGAGGGCCAACTCCAGTGGACCAGAGTCAGCAGTCCACCTCCACCTGAAGGACAAAGGACATTCTTTTGAGGACAGTGAAGTCCAGATCCTCTCCAGAGAACATCGCTGGTTTGAGAGAGGAGTTAAGGAAGCTATTTTTGTAAAAATAGAACACCTCTCACTAAATAGGGGTGGTGGACTAAGACACAACTTGTCTTCCATCTACAATCCTGTTTTGACATCTCTGCCCAAACATGTCCACCAGGGCAATAGGCATTGGTCAACAGGGGAGGATCCAAAGACAGGTAACGACTCTCACTGATACTGGGCTATAACAACTCAGTCATTAAGGGACATTGTTGGCCTTCAAAGGACTGAAACACCATCGAGGGGGATAAATATCTCTGGCTCAACACCAGTCAGTCAGAACTGATGAAGCCTCTTGGATGAGAGGTGAAACGTCTTCGATCTAGAAATCTAAGTCCAGTTTAGTTTTTTCTAAGGTTTTTTCAGTTTACTATGTCCTGGATGACTGAGAATCTGCACAGACAGCCATACTGTCATGTCAGTCTTTTCTCTTGTAAAAGTAGACCACAATGTTTGAAAACACTTCTAATAAAATACAAATCTCACCTTTATGTGGCTTGTCCTAGTGGGTGTTGTTTTTCTTTTCTCCTCATTCTGCAATTTGCTAAATAAATCCAAAGTATATCTATGTATCAGTGTCACTGTTGAAGTGGGTGGCCCCCCCCCTCAACCACAGGGGGGAAGTATTGAGCAAATTGCTGCTTGGCACACAAAAATGAGGAGAAGAAGATGAGAAACCACCAGGGGCTGGGGCGACCTTCTATTGTAATGCACACTGGCTGATAAAAAAATAAAATGTAATAAAATAAAAACAAAGGCTTGACCAGAAGAGGCTTATCTGATGGAGTGTAGCGGGAGGGAGTATAGTTCTCCAACCAGCCAAGAAGTAACTCAGATGAAGTATAAGGCCCCTAAAAGTTCAGAGAAGTGCGCCCTACGTCAGCAGGGTAAAGAGAGGAAATTTTGCTTGTCCCTCTCATTACCATTAGTTAACAGCTTAGTAGAACTTGACCTTTTCCTCCCCTGCTTTTTGTTGTTTGCTGTTCTAGGTTCTGTGGAGAGTGTCTGCAGCCATGTCTTCAGGTGACCTCGCCTCCCTGCCCTCTCTGTCGTGTGCCCTTTGACCCCAAGAAAGTGGAGCGCTCCTCCAGTGTGGAGAAGCAGCTGGCCTCATACAAAGCACCCTGCAGGGGCTGTAGCAAGAAGGTAGAAACTGACCATCCTGTACTCATGTTAAAAATTTTTGTCTGTTTATTATTGGACACTGGTATTTATTATTTATTTATTTTACAGCAACTGTGAGAAATGAAGGCACCTTGAGGTGCAAAACATTTTAGAAAACAAATAAACATCAATAGCACTTAACAGAAAAAGTTCACCAAAAAAATACAACATTTCAGGAACAAATTATTGACAAAACAAATCTACACACTAAAAACTGTTCCTTTTACTATTGCTGTTTAATGTAAAGTAACTAATACTAACTTCATCAATTATAATGTAAATTAGCACAGAGTTGTAGCCATATATTTAAAAACCTGATCGTTATGTAAACTGTGTTGCAAGTGAGAATGTATGGACAGAACACATGGTTAGCGTGTGTGTGTGTCTCTGTGTCTTCTCAGGTGGCTCTGGTAAAGATGAGGTCCCACATTGCTTCCTGTTCGAAAGTACAGGAGCCAATAGCCAACTGTCCCAAGTTTGTCCCTGTGGTACCCACCTCCCAACCTATACCAAGGTAGAGACACTCTGACAACACCAGTGCTCGGTGAAAAAACAATGTATCTTCACATTAACAGTTTCAGATTACTTTAATAAAAATCTCTATCTCTGAAATGCCTAATCTGTCAAGAACAGCAATAATCTCTTTTTTTTTAACTATCAATGACTATAGCTCCCATGGGTCCTAGCAATAGGGGTGCTATCACAGCCTCAGTGAAGTTGTAAATTGCTCTATTTAAATAATTTATTCTTAGTTATGATAATGTGCTCAAATTTTGATTCACAGTGCAAAAGTAGATACTTGTATACTGTATCTTAGAGGGTTGAAAACCCCCATGACCGGTTTCAGTTTAGATCATCTATGGAAAAACACAGAAGTCTGCTTGAAAACAGGGCTGTTTTTCTTTAACTCTATAATCTAAGCCGTTTAAACCTGAAACCAACTATATATATGCAGTACATTTGATATATGGTCTGACTCTCCTGTGTAGAGGCATCTAGTAAATCACACAGAAATAAACTCATGATCATTTCATAGATTGTACATGCACACAGTATACACCATGAGTCATTAGAGTTCACCTATAAAAAATAGAACTAGTTAAAAGATTGAATTACATACTACAGAATTGTGATAGGTCATATGATTATGTTTTGTGTTCTTCCATATATAGCAATATTCCGAACCGATCAACGTTTGTGTGTCCGTTCTGTGGAGCCAGAAACCTGGACCAGCAGCAACTAATGAAGCACTGTATGGACAACCACCGTAATGATGCTAATAAAGTGGTAAGAGACAAGTATTTAATACAATTAATTACATTATTAGAACTAACGTACTCCTGGTGTGCCCCAGAAACAGCCATTTTTGCTGATTGAACTTTTTAATAAACCAATAAACTATTTGAAGTTTTCAAGAGCAGTATTTGCATTATGATTACATCTACCTAGCTCCAGTGTTCCTGGTGTTTTGTCCTGCCACCCCAAAGACACTGCTCTGATGTTGTGCCTTAGGGTGGTTTCACATTCCATCTAAACTATGTGTATATACACATATATTTTATAACTGCTTATTTCTATTTTTTATTTTCCTAATGCACATTCTTTTTTCTTCTTTGCACATTCTTTTATTTTACTTGTTGTCTCACTCTTGTGTTGTTTACTGGACTGAAGTCAAATTCCTCATGTGTTCACCACACCTGGCCTATAAAGCTAATTCTGATTAGGGACCTGGGCCCAGATCCAAGTTCGCTTGACCCCAAAGTCCAGTTCATTTTGATCAGTGTGAACCTAAGTGTGCCAAACTCAAGCACCGTGCCCGAGTCCACTTGAAGAAGTTGTCTCAAGCACTATTTCACATGTACTCTAGTATGGTCTGCAAGAGTTGTGAATGCAATTGAGCTGAAACAAGGAAGTGTGCTGCTATGTGATGTCAAAACTATCGGACTCTGTCAGTTTAAACATTAACAAACATAGCTGTGAAAGGATCTAAGTAGTAGATGAGTAATGAAGTAGCAAAATTCTTGCTTGAAATTTGGGCTGAAGAAAATACTGGATAACTGGATACTAGACACGAAAACTCAGATTATGGACGTATTCATCAGTATTTACATGTGCGTGGAAGAGAAACTAATGTCACCCAGTTGATGACATGAGTGGTTGCTTCTTCTTCTTTCTTCTTCTTGGTGGATTGCAAACCAACTACGTGCATACTGCCACCTACTGTACTGGGCTGTGTATACAGTGGCAAGAAAAAGAATGTGAACCTTTTGGAATTTCATGGTTTTCTGCAATAATTTGTCAAAATGTGATCTGATCTTCATCTAAGTCAAGAGTACTGATGAATATAATGCGCTTAATATAACACAAAAAATTCTGATCTTTCATGCCTTTATTGAGAACACCATAAAAACCTCATAGTGTTAGTGGAAAAAGTATGTGAACCCTTGAGTTAATGACCTCAAAAAAGCTAACTGGAGTCAGGTGTTAGCATACGTGGAGTCTTGTTAAGAAAATGAGTTTGGAGGTGTGGACTAGAGCTACTTTGACTGATAAAAAAAAAACACAACCATTTTGAGTTTGCTCCATACAAGAGGAATATGCTTATGTGAGGCATGTCTTGCCAAAAAGAGTTTTCAAAGGATCTACGATCAAAAATTGTTTATATACATAAAGATGGAAAGAGTTAAAGTGATTTCAAAGACTTTAAAAATCTAGTCTATAGTTGGGCAAACGATCTAAAAATGGAGACACTTTGGGACTGTGGCTACTCTACCAAGAAGTGGGCTCCCAGTCAAAATGGCCCCAAGAGCACAACGAAGACTCATCAATGAGGTAAAGAAACAACTTTGAGTGACAGCCAAAGATTTGAAGGCATCAGTGGAACTGGATAAAATCTGTGTTCATGAGTCTACAGTACGTAAAACATTGAACAAGCAGGGTGTCTTTGGCAGGACACCATGAAGGAAGCTGCTGCTTACTAAAAAGAACATTGCTGCACAGGTTTGAGGTACTGATTACTGTATGTAATTACATCAGCCCTGGTTTAGGTCCAACTAAAGACATCTGTTACATGCATGGCTTAAAGTTCTCGAGCACTGTGCCAATATCCCAGCATGGGGCCAGGCTTTGTTGGATTCAAAATAGATCATTATATGTCTATGTCTTGCATATTTCTTTTCATATCATTGTCATGATATTTTGGACTAATTTGGCAACGGTTTGACAACAGTAGACCTATTGTGCCACATAGGCTGCTCAGAGACCAACAGGGGAGTGACCACTGAAAAGTCTGAACAATAGGCATATTGGATATCTTTATGGCTTTTAAAGTGGACCTGGGCTTTGATCAAATTACTAAACTATGGTTTCTGACTGAGGAAAGCATGAGTACAGATAGCATTTTACTGACATTTGGACCCTTTATGTTAATGAGAGAATAGGCCCAGTTCCTCTTGAGCAGAAAGTGATTGTGTGACAGAGTGCGTTAGAACTAAATCAGTAGCAAGCTTTACAGATGCTACTGGCACTTTGAAAACTACATTTGTGTGGATCCATGAGGGATAGGACTAAATGAGGCCCCCAAGGTTAACACCACTGTGATAATGTTTCTATTTAGATGTCATCAATAATAAAAACCATCATTGCAGTGTGTGAGTCAGTGTAATTGTCTTGTGACTTGTGGCAGTAGCTTGATGTAGCCTAAACTGTGTTTGTATTTCCAGGTGTGTCCAGTGTGTTCAGCCATGCCATGGGGAGATCCCAGCTATAAGAGCTCCAATTTCCTCCAGCATCTTCTTCACAGACATAAGTTCTCTTATGACACCTTTGTTGTAAGTTGTGATACTATTAATTTTGTCTTTAAAAGTAACATTTGAAAAAAATACAGAATATGGAAATATGGAGCAGAAACAGACTTTACATTTATCATACAGTGATGCTGCCATGTAAACAGTGTTTTGATGTGAACATACCCGTGAGTGATCAGCTGTAGGCCTACATGGTGCAAGCAGACTACAGGTTGGCCAAACATTGGCACATGCTGACAGTCACAAGCCCCACGCACAGCTGATATGTTCACTGTTGCTGGTTGACGTAAGCCAACATAAAGCAGGAGTTTATTCAACATTTTGGAGTCATTTTATCACTTCTGAGTGTAGAACTTGTTTTCTTATAACTTTAGTCAGCATTTGAGGACTGGTCATGACAAATATTGGGGGCAACAATTTTCCATTTTTGATGATAATGGCAACTTCGAGTTGTGCTAGCTCACCCAGATTAGGGAAACTAGGGCACCCTCCTGGAGCTAGACCTGGGAGGGGAGCTTTCTGGTGAGCGTCTGGTGGCCAGGCCTTGGCCCCTGGGTCCTGGTTGGACGCAGCCCGAAGAAATGACATAGTGCCACTGCCCTGTAGACCCACCACCTGCAGGGAAAAGAATCAGGGTCAGGTGCAATGCAAGTCAGGTGGCAGACTAGATCGGGTACCTGGATGTGTTGATCCCTGGCTGCGTAGGCTAGCTCTAGGAACATGGAATGCCACCTCTCTAGTGGGGAAGGAGGTGGAGTGATACCTACTAGATATAGTTGGGCTTAACTGTGGAACGACACTCTTCAACTTATATCTTAACCAAAAGGCATTACAGTTAGACTCTATCCTTTTCTGGAGTTGCTCAGGGTGAGAAGCGCCGGGCGGGTGTGAAGATACTCACAAATTCCAGGTTGAGTGCCGCTATGTTGGAGTTCTCCCTGGGGAATGAGACAATTGCCTCTATGTGACTTAAAGTCACTGAGAGGAGAGCCCTGGCTGTTGTATGTGCCTATGCACCAAATGGTAGTTCAGAGTATGTGGCCTTTTTGGAGACACTGGGTAGGGTCCTTGAGGAGGCATCATCTGGGGACTGCATAGTTGTACTGCAGGACTTCAGTGCCTGCCTGCCTGATCTGAATCCAAATGGTGCTTTGTTATTGGACTTCTGTGCTAGTCATGGATTGGCCATAAGAAGCGCCATGTTCAAGCATAGGGTTGTTCATAAGCGTACTTGGTTGCATAACATCTTAGGCCTTAGATCAGGGGTGCCCAATACATCAATCGTGATCAACCGGTAGATCGTGAAGGTAGTGTCGGTAGATCGCGTGCCATTCAAAAATAAATTAAATGTATCGGCATAAAACACGTGCCAAATTAATTATGCAAGACCAACAAACAAAAAAATACCAAGGCACTTGTCTTATAACAAAGTTAAAATGCCTTTAATTAAATTGGCATGGTCGACGAACAAGGTACGAAAAAGTAACAGACGTGTTTCTACGTCTAGCCTTCTCTAGTTACAGCATATGACAAAACAATCTAAGTGAAACATATTAAGTAGCACTAATGAACAACAGGTTAAGTCATTTCTTCTCACTGAAAAAAGAGAAGGGGAAAAGGAAAGAAGACACATATATAATATCATTGCAAACACCTAACAGGAAAATCAGCACAAATATACACAGATCATATCATTATGAAAAATGTTTTAAATCTAAATTGTCATTGCGGCCTGGTTATTGAGTGGCCTTGAGTTTAAATATCTAAACACTTTCCCTCTCACTAAGTAATTAAATTTTATTTGCTTTATGTATAGATTGTGAAATATGATCAATGCCTTTAGCTTTCAGAATAGATGTGTTACTGTTGTTTCTCTTAAAGATTTCTGTCTGTGGGATAGGCTTAATTCATAGTCCTAATGGCATATTTATGTCCTGCAAATCTACCTTTGCAATCTCTGTATTGTTCTTCCCATTTATAAAAAAAACTCTAGAAAGAGAATGTTCCAATTTGTATATAACAAATGTCATCTTACAATTAATGAAATGTCTAATTTTATATGTGTTATTATCATGAATACATTGAAAGATTTGACATTTTAAACATCAGGGCAGTGACTACAGTGACAACACTGAAAACATCCCATAGGTTTAGAGGGAACCCAGGTAGGTTTATGATCCACAGGTAAATAATTATGAACAAGTTTATCACTTAAATTAGATAAACGTTTAAAACTAAATATAGGGAGTTGTAAAAAAAAAAAAAGGTGCAATTGTAGCATTGCATTGAAGCGTAGTCCACTTCTTTTTGATTATATTTTTAATTTGATATGCTTCTGTACTTAAACTTAGTAAAAAAGGAAACTCTATGCTGAGAATTCCTGTCTTGCAAAAAATCCTGGTGTTCTAAGTCCTTGGCTTTCCTCCTAGCAATTCTCCATTTCTTCAGCTTTCTGATCAGAATAGTCTTCATTATCACAAATTTTCTTTAATCATTAAAATTGACTATGTGGTATGCAAGTTAAAATCTGAAACAGTGGGTGTTTCTCAGCTCTCTTATATGGGATGTCATTTCCCACACTTGTCTTTTCCTTGCATTTCAGTCCTGTACAAGTAAGATGTGAGAAAACGATGCAAAGAAAACATGTGAGGACTCCAGAAAACACATTTTTAATGATGTACTCTAATTAGATTCAGATATGGTGTTGTTCCTTCTGGATGTGTTAGCATCTAAAGCTAATGTGTTTATTTTGGTAACAATAGCAACATAGCATAGTCACATTTTTACCTTAGTATTGAATTAGTATAATTTTAATTTGGGCGCAATTCGAGCTTTGTAGAACATTTATTGCTTTTTGAAACATCAGCAGTAACCAGAGCATTTTATTGAATTGTCAAACTGACTCAGTCAGCTATCACTAGCTTCAAACTGGGGCTGTATTTTGTACAGTGTGTAGCAACCAGCTATTTGAAGTTTGGGAAAAGCTAGGAATCAGGAAGTGATGGGAGGGGCAAAGAGTGGTTGGGAGTGGCTTATGTTGTCAGTTTTTGAGTCTCACTAGACCCTGTAGCCTCTGAAAAGAAACTAGGTAAAGTAGTGGATGGTTTAAATGAATGTTTTAAATACATGTGGGTAACACTGTATGATGTGCAGTGACAAGTAGCTGTTTGTTACTTTTTGTCAGGACTACAGCATTGATGAAGAGGCACAACTGCAGACAGCTCTCGCACTGTCACTGGCTGAAAACTGACAACAGACACAGCACCACTATTCTTTCACCATTGGTATCAACTCCACTATAACCAGTGTCACCCTTGAACCTCTGCATTGTTGCTGTTCCTCCCTGCCTCACTGGGTATCAACCAGCTAACAGAGATCCACATTGCAGAGAAGTTCCTTCAACTTTGGAGTGGGTGATAATCTCACTGTGGCTTTGGAATGGCTCCAGTGACTATCATGATGAGCTATGTAAAGTTGTTTGGAGCCAAATAAATCGCATCACACCCTGACTTTAAAAATGGCAACCTACAGTTTGGAAAATGTCCATTCTCTCCCAGGTTTTGTTCTTATGACAGTTGCCATCTGGACCAATGAAGGGCTACCTCCATCGAAATGAGCTGGAAACCTACTGAGACCTGCTGACTCTAAAACCCTCACTAGCAGCTCAGGCTGCTGACCATTAGTCACTTGCTAGGTGGTCCTAACTGCTGCTATTCCCTGTGAATGACCTTTGTTGATAATCAGTTAATAATAAATGATTAATAATCAGTCTGAGAGTGGGGCACAAACTCCAGTATCCTCTACAGCATAGTTTGCAGTGACCCAGTTTGGCAAATTCACTTTTTTAAGAGTTCATATACAGTAGCTAGGCAGCAAGAATGAAAGTATACATAAAAAAAAAATAAAGTATACAACATGATGAAACAATAGCTCCTCAAGTTCTTTGCTGTTGCCAGACAAACACAATCAGAATACGTATGAAAGCAGCATTGACAGGCTAGAATTCTAGTAGAACATAATATTAGTAGCTGAGATAGCTGGCAGAGGGACTACCCACCTTACTCGATATTTTCAAGCTCATCTTTTCAGTCATGTTACTGTCAGCTTTATTACACTGGTGTGAAAGTAAAGGCATCTGTCGCTGTTGTCTCTCTTGCTTGCTCACTCTCTCCCTCTCCAAAATAGCCTAGACTTTTCCAGTGCAAAAAAAAAAAAGATCTGAAGACCAAGTACATTGCGAAAAAAATATTCCAGAAACATTTAAAGCAAACTTAAGACCAATTTATGTTTTCCACATCCATATGACGAAAAGTACATTTCATCTTCTGCCCATGTCCATAAGACTCTGTGCAAACCATCTGCGCCAGCAAGCATACATATGTGTCTGCAGAAACTTGTTGTATAGGGAGAACTGCTTCCACTGTCCACGTTTTGAATAATGTCAGGCCCTTTAGCCTCTTACTAGCATTGTCTATCATCTTAATCTCAGACATTTAAACTCCCAGTTTATTTGGCTCATTGTCATTTCAGTGCTTGGCCTGTAGGCTCCTCCACAGGTGTATCAGGAAAGCTTAAAATCAGTGTTCAGTTGTCACTGTGCACAGTGCGACTGGTCAGACCCTGAGAAATCATGGTCAGTCTTGATATCAGAAGGTAGTGGCAGGTTAAAAGCTACTCATGAGGTAGTAACATTTTCAGAATAATCAGGTTTTCTGTAGTAATCCATTACCATATTTCTTCAATCTCAGAGACTTCACCTCTGTCAGTAGACTGCAGCCAGCTGACATCCAGACCTGTGGGACAGATCATCGCTTGGTCCAATTTACTGTCATGTTGAACTAGTTTCCACAATAAATTGGCATTTCATTCTCAGTTCTGACACAGCGACACCAAAAGGGAGTTTTTCAGGCCAACATATTATGGTATAAACCCTGGAAGCTGAGCTTTACTCCATTTCAGCTTCACTGAAGACAACAGGAGAGCTTCAACTGCGCCAATGAAGGAAGGATGTCGTCTCATGTCCAGAACAGCTCAGAATGCCAATTATATTATCATGATTCCAGAGTTTAACATTTACAATAATAGACATTAAGATCTCATAAACTGTCATTATAAGCAAAGTCAGACATCGCCTGTATTTTTTATTCATGTGAATATTTGCAGTTGTCAGCATTTTTTTCCTACCACATTAATTTGTAGATATTAGTTGGAAAACAACCAGTAAAGATGGATGTGCTGGACTGAAATCTAATTTCCATCTTACTGTTTTCTGCATCTTTATGTCTTGCTACAAGGAATATTTTTCTGATGCATCTGCCAAGATAGATGAGTATTAAAAGATATATTTTTGAAAAAATGTTTGTTTCAAATTACAACCTTTCAGGGACACAAGTTGATTTATAAACTGTTTGCTGTCACACACACACACACACAAGAAACAGGACTAGAGAGAATGGGACTGGTTTAAAACAGGTATTTGATATAATCTAACCAACAGATGGCAGTCCTTCTCCAGACATACAGAACCATAGAAAGGTCAACACTTGTGCACACTGACATCATGCTTGCTGTAGAGGCAAAATTTAGGAAACAAAACAAGGTCACTTAGGATAATGTTTCCACAGATGGATGCATTTACTCTACCATTTACACTCTAATACATTCAATTTTTAGTTTCTTTTTGTATAACCATAACTATTATTTAATTGTTTAGCTATTAAACCTTATTGTAGATTGAGTGTTTTATTAAACAAATATCTTGTAAATTACCAATGGTGCCAAGAGATAAATATTATTTGATAGAAAATGTACCATTACTTTTGTGTAAATGAAAAAAAAATTTGACTACTTAATTTAAATGAAGCAGTCATTTACTTAATTCCATTCATGTTTTTGTTGTCAAAATAATTACAATTGACTGGGAGTGCTGCAGCAGAGCTGGCTGGGACCCAAAGTAAAAGCAGCATGAATTCTACAATGGAAGAATAAGGCTGTGTGGAGGCAAAAAAAAAAAAAAAAAAAACTGGATGAAGGGTGAAGGCGACTTGAGAGCAGTCATTGGTTGATGACTCAGGATAGCTGCGTGATTAGAGTAGTTACAAATACTTTGCATTGACAATATTGATTTACATTTTTTGAAATTGGATACATTTACCCTGAGCATCCGACACTGGCTGGCATCGGGGGTTTGTGTGGTTGGCTTTCGGGCACAAATATATTTTAGGTATCACGTCAGATGTGTCAAAACTTTCTGACAAAGACCTGTTTCATAGTTATAATATCCATGTTGATGTGAATGGTAAATTCGAAACTTGTTATTATGGTAATACCAATATGACCTGATATTATTACTCAGAATTTAACATTTCTTCTTCAAAATTAAGACTCATAAATGTGTAACATAGGCACAGTGAAAAGATCCATCTCTAAACAAGTGTCAGTGTCCTCCATAATTTGTACATCTTGCTCAAAGTATAATAATGGAAATCTTTCACATAAATGAAAACAAAACTCAAAAAGCTGAAGGTAGTCTCTGTTATCGTTCCTCCTCATTACTAGCCTAATGGTAATCCTCTACATGTTAAACATGCATTTTAGGTTTAGCTGAAGCCAATAGCGGTTCCAGCAGTCTGAGCTAACTAAATCAAGTGAGTGTCCTAGCAAACCTGCATGTGGCTGCCACAATGTATAATTCCCCCAGGGCTCAACAAGAAAACACTAACTGTAGAAACCTAAAGAGGTAACTTCACAGTAACAAGACAAACTTTGGAAGATCCCAATAAGGTCTGGCTAAATCAGACTGCCAAACCCTATATTATCTTACAGGTGCATTTTTGCATAGAACAAGGTCTGTGAAGGTCCAACTTCATTATCAGAACTGTAACCTGGTTGAACCCAAGACCAGCTGCAGTAGGTAACAGGGTGTCAGGTTCTGACTGTACCCAAATAAAGTGAGTTTAGTGTAAGATGGTATAGCACTATAAAGCCTGCTCTTGAAGTTGAAGTGATTTTGAGTTAGATACAGTATTTCGACTTTAGGAATCCAGATCTCTGATGAACCTGAACAGTCTGAGCTGCTCTCTGACAGTTGTATCTCATTCTAGCTGGTATACAGATGCACTCCACAGATTTCACACATAAAACTAAGTTACCCATTATGGTAAAGTCTACTCAATCTGTTAAAACGCTTGTTCTACTATCCCCTGGCTCTGGGGGAACTTTGTTCATTAGAGAATATAGCCCCCGTGGTGTTACAGCAATGTCACTAGGTTTACCTCAGCTGGAGCTCAGTCTTAAAGTCATAACATGAAAAATGTTACAAATATCATTTCCAGAAAATTTGGGGCATTTTCAAAAATGCTATAAAAGCTAAAGTCTGATTTGTTAATTTGCTTGAAACTTTATTTAATGGACAAAAGTACAAAGAAAAGGTTTTCATTGTTTTCACTGACCAACTTCATGGTAGCAACACTTTAATCATATAATCTTAGGATTATTTATTGTCATTACCCATGTACAAGTACAAGGCAATGACTATAAAGTTGAATCTAATCTAATCAATAGTTAATCATTTAATAGGAAACACTTTTCTCTGACTTTTAATTCATGAAGCTACCAGAACCTTTGGGGCAAAAACAAAATATAGACTAAACTGTATTTGAGTGAAGGCCTAATGGTATGTAGGCCAACGTTTGTCCTGAGTTTCTTTAGTGAACTAGCAGTTTCATAGTTTCACAGTTTCACAGCAGTTCACTTTTCACAGACTTTCATTTTTTTAAATTAATGTGCTATAACTATTTCACAGCAGTTCAAATACTGTTTATCAGACCCAGAATTATATTTTTAAATAGTGGAGCATGTTGGTTGAGATTGTGTTTCACTGTTAAAAAATAATAACAAATGTCATACAAAGCGTTATTATTTTACTTGTCTAGTTCACTGGTGCATGCTTGATCTCCTTCCTGATGATGTATGTTAAGATGAAACAAGCCTGACAGACTCTCACACCCTAACTGAGAGCCACCACTGCAAGAGCATGGGGCAAAGCTCATTACGCCTGGCACTGCTTTCTCTCCCAGCCTGGTCTGGGCGTAGCATTCACCTTGTACTTGGCCGGCTGGAGGACCACACCAAATTTGCCTTCCAGACTGGGCACAGAGTGGCCTGGTGGGACAGAGAGAGTGAAGCGCTGTAGGATCCAAGACAGAAAGAGAAAGACCTCCATCTTGGCCAAGGCCTCACCCAGACACACCCTGATACCTGCACCAAATGGCAGATAGCTGGGTGATGGGGTGATCAGACCTGTGCCATCACTGTTCAGGAACCGCCCTAGAGATGAAGAGAACGGGAATCAGAATCAGCACACGCAAAAGTAAAACCCTCATACACAGAGTTCAACTGCTGGCACCAACAGAGGTGCTGGCGTTCATGGAGCTAAACGGCACAGATTTGTGCCGCATGTGAAAAATAGTTAAATGTGACATTATTGATGCCACAAAAATCTTTCAGTGTCACTGAGTAAGGATCAAGCAACAGTGCAAAGGAACAGGGCCAATTCATTCAAATTTCAAAAATACAAATTTTCCACTAAGTAGAATCTGGTTATTCATAGAGTTTGGGTTTTACTTGGTTAATTCAGATTTCATTTAATGAGGAAGCTGCTTCTGGAAAAACAAGTTGTTGCTCCAGTTCAATTCACCTCCACTGGCCTTCACCACATTACACTGGAGGTGAAATGATTTGGAACAACTTGGATTTCCAGAAAAAGCTTTCAGATTAAGTGAAATTATCCTGAGTAATTAAGGGTTTCCCCCTCGGAACAAGACATTGCTGTTAGTGTCAAATGTTACGTTTAATATTTCCTCAACATATAGGGTAGCAGCCATGTGCTCAATAAAAAGCACAGCAGCCAGACATGGCTTCTTTTGTATCATCATTAATCAAGTTCTTTATTTAGCTGAATAAAAAAGAAATTAATGAATGACACTTGACAACTACACATGAGACCATCATTTTCCAGGACATAATATGGTACAGTTGACTGAGGTTTCCTCTCACCAGGGTCAAAGAGCTCAGGGTTTTCCCATTCCTTCTCATCATGGTGCAGAGACCACATGTTGATGATGACGTGGGTTCCTTTCCTCACTATAAAGTCTCCAAGGCTACAGACGAGGAAAGAGACAGAAAGGGAGCAAACATGAATAGGTGTTTCTAAGATTTGATTGTTGCAGTTCTTCTGTTCCTTCAGAATCAGTCCTGTTTCAGTCATTACACAGTTTTTCTAAGGTGCATGTCTATATTTTTTGCACACTGGTGTGTTTGGCATTTTCCTGCCATGAATGAATGGCTTGCACTGAGGTGGGAGGAGAGGCACAGTTGAGGCTGTGTGTATGCTAATTAGGTAGCGCAGTGTTCATTTGGTGCTCAATTTGAATCAAAATTAAGATAGTGAAAACACCTGCTCAGACCACTTCTTATTGTAATCACAGGTACACTGCAATTTTAGAAAGATACTCTTCATCCAAGATAAATAAAATAGTCCTTGCTGTGTGGCTATATATATATATATGTATATGAATGTCCTTACACACCACCTGTCATTCAGGATGCAGCCACAGAGGTGAACTGCAGCTGGTGTTTGGGAATCAGACGTTTACTGTACACAGAAGTGACAAAAGTAATACATGAAAGCAGCTCATGAGCCATGATGAATAACAAGCACCATGCAGATGTCCTGATCGTTCCTATTAGGCAGCAGATAAAGTCATTCCGACCTCACTGTGGCTACTGTCACTGTTATGTGACAGTTTCTCCAAATGATCAAGTTTCACACAGACATATCTTCCTTACTTTCATGGGGATATGTATTTTTGCATTTATGACGTTTGATCCAACAAAGTAACTGGAGGTGGAGATAAAGTGGGCTGTGAGCTCTGGTGGACCACAGGCAGTTTCACCATAAACAGAATGATTACAGTATAATTTTGCTGTATTATTTTAAAAACTGTAAAACATTTATAAGGTTGCATGTGGGTGGCTTGACTGGACATAACTAAAGCCAGGCCTGACCTGTCCTGACACCAGCTCACTGTGTGTTCCTCCTTTTAACAATGTATTCTCCTTCATTTCCACAATGCACGCAGTAACCCCGGCTGTGCACAAACATTGTGCTGTACCTGTGGTCACCAAAACTGCAAAACATGGTTGAACATACCCTTAAGTTCCTTGCACCTTGAATTTAGGCATGAGTTTAACACTGCACCCTATTTCAGGAAAATAGAGGCATAGACTCTTTATAAAAATGGATGAGGTGACAGATCCCTGGAGATCATAAATCCCGCCCCCTCTATGTTAACCAATGGGACATGAACCGAACTAAAAATTCAAAGTACACATCAAGTACATTTTTCCAAAAGGTAATTTCTGTTGTTATTTATTAGATATTGTAATGATGATTTGTGTATAAGTGGTCATTTTTCTACTAAGTTATTTTATGAAATAAAAAGTGGTGTATTTTACGCGTGAAGCTGGAGCGTGAATCTGGAGATAAGGCAGGTAGATAACAGTGAGCTGACAGGTGGTAAGGCAGGCAGGCAGTTTGGAGAACCAGCAAGTGCACACAGCTCGAGAGTGTAGGGCTGGGGAACAGAGAGCTGAAGAGCGCAGAGCTGGGGAACGAAGAGCTGGTGAGTGCGGAGCCGAGGAACGGAGAGGTGGTGGGTACAGAGCTGGGGATTAAAACTGGAGAGCTGGAGAGTCGGTAGCGTCTCGGGAAGCAGGTGAGCGTCGACAATGAGGACGGGGAGAAAACTAACGAACAAGTTGGAGAACTAATGGAAAAGGGCGTATATATACACGGGTAGCTGAACTGGGAGGTAATGAGTGGTAGGTGGATGTGATGATGAGTGATTTCTCTGGTGGAGACGTGACAGGCAGCGAGAGACAGGGAATCCGGGGAAAAACAACAGGAAACTAGCAAGTATGGATGCAAACCATAACAATATTAATGTTTTGGCTTCACCTTTGCATAGTGGAGGGAAGTGGTGACATGCTTTCCATCTTGATCACTGAAAAAAAGGACTCACCGGGTCTTTGGATTTACACAAATTATGCTAGTATATGCAACGCAATTCATTCATATTTCCTCTGTTAACATAATTCAAACTAGTTAACCCCTAAAGAAAATTATGTTGGTTTTACACATTATCATTGTGTGGGACCGATGTACACATTACAATGAAGCAAATCCAACAAATCTTTTTTTTTTCAGTGTATGGAGTCTATGGTGTAACATAGCTACTGCTGTATTGATCATCACATATTGATTGCTTACACTGTAACCATCATGTCAGAGGTGGATGACAGTAAATGGCCCTGAATGAGTGCCATGGCAGTGGTGAGTCTACCTTGTGTCACTGAGGGTCACACGAGGGATGAGCAGAGGGGCCACAGGACGGATCCTTAGCACCTCCCTGATGGTGGCCTCCAGGTAGGGCAGACTGGCTCTGTCACTAAGCTTGGGGGACCGGTCCACCCCAATCTTACTGTCCAGCTCCTCCTGGATCTGCCTCTGGACCTAAACAAACAGTTTAAAAGATTTATTATAGATTGTTTCTCTTTATTTTTTCTATTCTCTTTCCAATATTAAATGCACATGTTTTCCTGTTTTGTTACTTTACAAACGCAGTCTGAGAGCCTCTGTACAGAAGTCAAATTCCTTGTGCGTTTAAAAATACTTGGCCAATAAACATGATTCTGATTCAGATTCAGATTCCTTATGTGAACAATTGTTTGGACGCCGTAGTGTAATACAGACACTGTTGTTAACAAAGTTTGTTCATGTAGCATATTCAGCTGGATGAAGATTCGTCATCTATTCATCTTTTGCATTATATTACTTAAGAGCAAATCCTACACAACACTTCAGAAGTGTGTCTTGGCTGTCATCGTTCATTAAGAAAAAACCTAAAGTAGTAGTGCCAGATCATGGCTGAAGTGGTACCTGATTGACTCCCCTATGTATCATCCATCATGATGTTTAACTGTGGATATCATCATATGCGAGTTCCATAAACATCACCAGCCCTATGTTTGTGATGTTGTTATGGCCTATGCCATCTGAAAACACTAGAGTGGACCCAAAATGCAACACTCAAGACTCAGAGCAGGTTACTAGCTTTATTGAGATTAGGCAGGTCAAGAAATTCCAACCCAGAAGGTCACAGGAACGGGAAGGAGTCATCTGGGCAACTGGTGAGTATGATGAAGAGAGCAACCTAGAGTTGCAGGAGGAAGGACCGTCGAAGGTGAAGATGAGGAGGAGCCAGATGAAGATAGAGGTGAGTTGGGGAGTGTATGGATGAAGAACCCGGTGTTGGTAGACAGTGGAGGATTGGGAGTACAGGAAGCAGAGGCTGGAACAGGTAATAGATGATACCATCTTACATGAAATTGGAGTGAGGAAAGATAAAGTGAATTGGTATCTTCCAGCTTCTGACTGGCTGAACACACCTGAGCCAGGTAATCAGCAGCAGGTCAGGCAGGGATAGTTGGAAAACAAGCAGGACAGTGGCCCTCGAAGACTGGAATTGGCCACCCCAGATTTACAGGTATTGCACTGAGGAAAGGTATTTCAGGTACTTCCTGAGCTGGCGCAGGAAGTTGGAGTGTCAATTTCATTTCAAATCCTACACAACTCCTTCCTGAAGTCCACTGTCATCTCCACTGTTTTGAGCATGTTCAGCTCCAGGTTGTTGCGGCTACACCACAGGACCAGCTGCTCAACCTCCCATCTGTAGGCTGACTCGTCACCATCTTGGATGAGACCAATGACCAATCTGCAAACTTTAGGAACTTGACAGAGGGGTCCTTTGAGATGCAGTCGTTGGTGTAGAGTGAAAACAGCAGAGGGGAAAGCACACATCCCTGGTGGGCGTCTGTGCTGATTGTCTCGGTGCTGGATGTGGTTTTCCCCAGCCTCACCTGCTGCTTCCTGTCTGTCAGAAAGCTAGTAATCCACTGACAGGTGGGGGCAGGCACAGTGAGCTGGGTCAGTTTGGAGTAGAGGATGTCCGGGATGGTGGTGTTGAACGCTGAGCTGAAGTCCACAAAGAGGGCCCGTGCGTAGGTCCCTGGGGAGTTGAGGTGTTGCAGGATGTAATGCAGTGCTGTGCTGACTGGTGAACTGGTGACGAGGACACGCCAGTGCCCGGCTTAAGTACTGCCGGGCAGATTGGTGTCAGCTATGCTGGGCGTGCCTTGCTGCCAAGTTTGTTTGCTGGCATGTGAGGGGGTGGAGGTGCCAGCCACGGGCGTGACAGATGTGTGGTATGATCTTTAACAATTCAGCTATGAGGATGCACGGTATGAAGTTTCTTCCTACATAAATGTGAATATTTCCTCTATAAGTTACACAGTTTACAGTAGTTTTACAGTGACTTGTTGATTTTTCTGAGTTTAACACTGACACACTGATAGCGTTTTCACTGCAGTTGCTGACATTATAGATACAGTATATAACCACAGACATTTCTGTTCTAACGCTGCTGAGGATGTAGCATCTGTGATAACACCCACAGATTTCTGAAGAAATAGTTTAAAGTCTGGATAATCAGACACTGTGATTTTCATATGTGGCACTCTGTGGAAGGCAGGCACAACAGCTAACTGATGGGCTGAGCTAACATACTGCCAGTCATAGGTCTACTTCTGTTTAACCCGTATTATCTCTTAAATGGGATTATTTG